GGGGGGGGGGGGGGGTACGGCTCAAACACGCACCTTCGCACCAAAACAAGAGAGTGAACCAGCCAAACTCGGGCACGCAACGTGGGGGCTCTGAGGCATACGTGTTGGAGGAGCAAAGCGCAGCAATCAAGGCATAAAAACAGACACAGTGGCACAACCATCAAAATACCAAACATCACATACGCGCTGCTGGCATTTAACTACCCGTGACTCAACAAAAAATAACCACTACAGCCCTTCAGAACCTTCTAATTTTCAGCAGCAAAGTGGCAAGGTCGCCTTCTGCAACGTCCACGTCACTAATCCATCACCGAGACTATTCGTTGGCGCATTCCCCTCTGCGGTAGCACCCGGACTCGTCTGTTTGCGCGGCGGGCCCACGTGCCCCTGCAGCACACAGGGGTATGTGATGGACTCCACGGCTCTCTTGACTGCAAGGTCGACAATCTCCTGCAGTTTCTCCTTTGAGCGGTGTGCCAAGGAGGCAGCACCCCCGCCAACCGCTGAGGTCAACGGCGGAAGTGCTGCGTTCATCTCACCAGGAACAGCACAACGGACGCTATTACGGGCGGATTGCTGTTGCTGTTGCTGTTGTTGCCAGCGGTTAAGGGGGTGATGGTGTCTGTTGACTGAAGCAGCATCAAACAAGGCCGTGAATTGCGGTTCACTCGCAAAACTAAGTTCAACCATGTTATCCAAGAAGGCAGCGTACAATACGCCGTGGAAAATGACACGCCTGACCGATAAGGCGCAGCGAAGAGTCAAGACGTCTGCCGGAATGCTTAGCGCTGCTGGGAGACCGAACAGGAGCGGTAGGTGGCAGGCGAGCTGCAACGCAAACCGTTGGTCCTCGTATGTTATGGGCACAACAAAGCACCGCAGTGTTTTTTTCATCCTTATCACTGCAGATGGGACACACTCCGCACCGACCTCCCGTGTGGCAACGTTGAATGGGGCCTCAAATGAGATAATGCCACTCGGGCCCACGCGCGGCAACACAACACCAATCAACGGATTCGAGACCGCACCGCCGTCCGGTGCCTCTGCGAAGCCTCCGCTTACGCGATTCACGTCGCTGTTTGTCCTGGCATGGTACGTCCCACCTACCGCGCCGCCCTGCGAGGTGGCGCTATACGGCTGCTGCTGCTGTTGCTGTTGCTGCTGCTGTTGGCCCACCGAACCGCTCACGCAACCCCCACCACCCAGTTCAACGCGCACAAAACGAACAGGTTCGGGGCCCAGACGCATTGCCCGCTCTCCACCCCCATCCTTCGCACACTTCCGCCCAACTGCATCCCCCACCCTCTTCGCACCCTCCTCAATAAAATAGGCAATACGGTCGGTCCACACGTCCTTGTCGACGGAGCCACCGCCAAGCACCAGGAGGGCGACCCACCGGCCCAGCACATTGACCCACATCGCCTCTTCACACTTGCGGCTCCGCTCGAGCGACGGCATGCTTCGCTCGCCGTAGCAGCCAGCGCCAGGTCCAACGTTACCAGCATGGCGACGGCGGCAGTTCCCGCTGCCCTCCTTACCAACGCCTCGCTCTTCTGCAGGGACGGTCAGAAGGAAGAAATACACCGCCGTACCGCAGATGAAGATGCTGCACGCGATCTCCACGAGGATCTCGAGCATTTACAAAACAATACAAACACCCCCCCCCTTCACACACAAACGGCGAATGCCCCTACTACTGCTGTACAAAAAATAATAAACAAATGCACAAGGGAATGGAAAGAGGCCATGCTGCCGACAAGAAGAAGGGACGCCACACAGCGGCGCAAAGGCCAAATAAATATCCAGAAAACCACTGACTGTATGGGCGTTGGGAGTGCTCTGACCACACCCCGGTCGATTCGGCAGAGGCCTTCCCTCATCAGTGAAGCAAAAGAACAAAAAAAAAACGAAAATGAAAAAAGCGCACAATCACTGCTAAATTGCTAAGGAAACGAAAAAACAACAAGAACGAAATCCAACTCTTTCTTCTTTACTAACCACTTTGCATACACAGAAAGCAAAAAGAAAAAAAAAAGCGAAACTAGGATTCGCGTGGGGCAGGGGACTGGAAGATGCTAGTTACCTGTGATGGGTGCCGCCATTCAGCAGCACATACGAAGGGTCCATGCACATTGCCTCCGTCATTAGGGCATGGGCGGCCTCGCGGCGTCCTTGGAGCGCACGGAGGGACGCGAGTTTGTAGAAGAGCGCCGCAGAATCTGGGAAGGAGGAGATGGAGGCGACCAGAAGACGTTCCAAGATTCCCTCAAGCACCAAGTGCCGATGAGAGCACCCTTGCCGTTGCTCTGGCAGGCCGATGTTTACTGCCATCTGCGGCGACACCTCGTAGCGGTGCTTCTCCCTCACGTATTCGGAAGCTATTTCTTCAATGAACGGCACGATCAACTCTGGGGACAGCGAGCTCTCTTGGCCCACGCGATGCCCCTGCTCATTAGCATTTACTGGCCCATCCATGCCACTTGATACTCTGGTACAGACATTCAGACGGTCTCCGTGTTTACAAAGGTACTCTGTCAACTTGGACGCCACAAGGTCATTCCACAACTGTCGCCCGACACCGTGCAGGCGGTTCCATTTCTCGCCTTCCACGAGGAGAGATCCCCATCCGTTAAAACTGTTCGACGTGATGGAAAGCAAAAGCACTTCCACCGCTTCTTGCGCTCGACCATTACGGGCATGATGTTTGGCAGCAGAAAGGTTGCGACTCCACTCATCTTCGATACCACTCTCTTCGCCTGTAAACTTGGAATCGCTGCCCACGTCGAATACTGAGGATTGAAAGCACCTCCATACACTCGATTCTCCCAAGAGCCGTCCCATACCCAGAAACATCGTCGCGAACCCTTGCTGCTGCTGCTGCTGTCGCGGTGGTGACGGTGGTGGTGTTAGCACCCTGTCTGAAGTGAATTCCAAGAGGCGTTCGTCAGCATTAAGGACAAAATCATGCTGCCCAATGACCACCAAGGCCCTGCGCAGGTCTTCCAATTCATTCCTGGTATTCTCTCCAGAGCACATGTAAATCACACACAGCCTACTCACCTCCTCCAGCTGCGCCTGCAGGACCCGGTTCAGAGACTGCAATTCATTTACCGCCGACAAATCGACCAAGCAACTGTCCCCTTCCCTCTGACTGCGGGTATCCCCCAATGAGAGCCGTGGGGTAGACCTGGAATCGAAGTGTGGCAATGAGTTGATATCTCCCTCCACACCGTTGCCGCCGTCAAGCTGCTCCGGCTGGTGCTCTTCAGCCACTTGGTGCGTGACCTCGTCGCACGACAACGGCGTTGTCACCGTCAAGTCACGGTTTTGGAATGACGGGCCCTGTGATGACAAGACGACCGCGTGATCATCTCCTTGAGGCCGTGAATCGTCAACGGGGTCCCACGACGACCACAACGAATCATTCAACGCGGGTTCAGTAGGACTTCTCATCATCACCTCCACGTGCGTCCAAAGTTCCGCCGCTCCATCGTGCTCATGCACCGACTGCGGCACGAGTGACTCCCTCTCACCGCCCCTTCGACACCACGTTTCCCCCGTCTCGGGGTTGATGTGGTGAAAGGAGCCTTCGCTTTCGGTGTATATCAGTTCTGATGAGGCGGGGGCGGTCATTGCACACCTTTTCCTCTTGACGAAACGATGCACAACCCCCCAGAGAAAAAAGGAGAGAGAGAGAGAGAGAGAGAGAGCAAAAAAAAAAAAANAAAAAAAAAAAAAAAAAACCAATAGTCGGATGGGAAGTACACAACAGACAGCACACATACAGAGATACAACTCTATCCCCCACGCCCTATATTATCATTGCCTCCTTTCCCCCAATCAGCAGCACCACCGTGACGAACAACAAACACTATCCATGGATAGTGATGCTTGCTCCTAAAGCACATACATTCTTCCTGTCGTTTTGCCCTTGCCTCGTTCTTCACGTTGTTGCCGAGGAAATTCTGGCAAATTAAACCACGCTCGGTTGAGTTGACGCAACGACTGTGTTAAGAACACACACGTATCTGAAATCCGGACTGGGAACAGAGATAAACTTCGTCCGTGCGACTTCAGTTACATTCCCTTGGTTTCCTTCACATTTAACTGCTCATTAGAGACGTTCTCATCATGTGTATTGATAAGGCACACGGATCGTCTTTTTAAAAATATTGATGGTTGTTATTGTTGGTGTTGGTGTTGTTGTTAGTTCGGTCGTTCTTGAAGGCAAATAGTCGTCAATGGCACTCTTGTTCACACTGCTGTAGGGGCACATACCAAAACGTTGAATGGCTTGTTTATATACAATTAGGATTTAAAGGAAGAGTAGAGCCCGAAAAGGTAATAACACGCTTTTCGTCTTCCAGCTTTGCTCCACCACCCCTACAATTCCCTACGGGATGCTGCCGCTAGTGCTCTTGTCATTCTCAGTGTTGTTGTTGTTGCTGCTGCTGCTGCTTCCGTTCACAACAATAACAGGAACACCAAAAGACGCCCAAAGTGCCGCCAGAATGGCCACCCCGCCCCATATGTAGCAGCTCACCGTGAACTCTACTCGCTGTATCAACATTGATACCACTAATGCACCCAACACATGTCCCATGTCCTGCACTGTCCGCATCACACCAAAGAACAACCCAGCATTCTTCTCTGGTGCCGTATCGGCAATGAGTGTCATGACAAGACCGCAGCTTAGTGCATCCGCAACGCCGAACACTGCTGCCATGACGTACAGCCACTTTTCTGTCTGCCAGAGTGGCAACAGCGCGAAGGCAACGCCAAAGGCGAGGACTGCTGTCAGCATCGAGTGGCGACGACCGCAGAGGTCCATAATGATGCCTCCCACCGGAAAGAGAACCGCGTCGAATGAAAAGCTGAGTGAGAGCAGAAACGCCAAATGCGAGTCTGTGAAGTCGAGCCGCATCGCCGCGAAGGTCAGGAGGAGCTTCCGATTGGCACGCAACGCAACGTATAGGACAATATAGAGACCGAGACGCCAAATTGTAAACCAATTTTCCACGATGGTAGACCAAAGAGAACAGTACCAGGAGGGGGAGTCGTCCCCCCCCTTCGACGTGCAGGAGAAGACCTGCGTCCTGGGCATCGCCACCGGTGTGCTCTGCTCACAGCCACGGCAGCCACCACTGCATTTGACAGTGGTGCTCTCGTACGACGGCACCATCGGCACCGTCTCGCTGTCTGATGCGGCCGCCGTAACAATAGCAACAGGTGCGGTGGGCAGGAGACGTTTGCTCTCGTACCCGGTCTCCGCCTCGTGCGTGGCGCCACGACACCTGGCAACCTCAACGCACAGCCACGCCAAGAGGGCGGCGCTGAGCGGCACCGCAAAGAAGAACCGACCGTTTTTACACTCCGCCGCGACGGCGCCGAGCATCACCGGCCCCAGCACGTGCGACAAACGCAGGACGCCCGCCAGGAACGAGAGGACAATCCCGCGGTGCTCCGGCTTCGAGATGCGTGCGACGTAGATGTGCCGTGACAGGAAGAAGACACCGGTGGAGAAGCCGCTAAGCACGCCGAATATGCCAAGTGTGAGGGTGTCCGGTTTCAGCACGAGCGGAATGGCACACCCAATCGCCAGAACAAATACAGACCATGAGATGAGCCGCCGCACATCGACGTAGTCCGCAAGCACACCGCTTGGGACGTCCGCCACCACGCGACATATGGCGACGAGCGCAACGTATGTGGCGATGACGTTTTCGCTGCACCCAAGCTGACGGCCCACCATTGTAATGATCGGGATATCGACTCCTGCACTGATTCCAATCAGCGCGTTGGTGAGGTGCACATCGAGGATGTGTGAATTCGCAATCTCTCTAAAGCTACCACTCCAATACCCCATCACACTATAAATTCCACTTCTCCCTCTCCTCTTTCTCTTTCTTTCCCTCTTTTTTTTGTTCTCTCTCTCTCTCACACACACACTCTCTCTCTCTCTCGCTCTTTTTATATCTATATGTTTATATAGTTAGATATGTAGATATAAATAAATATTGATGAAGATATATATACGTATGTATGTATGTATGTATCGTCCTTCGTTTGCCCACGCTGCCGTTACCTAGCCCCGCCCTTGATGCCTCCGGTCTGCCCACTAAACAGCACACCTCGCTGTGCGCAGAGCGAGGAGCAAACGGAACGAAGAAGTGAAAGCAGACAAGAGGAGAGACACACAAACAACAACAACAAGAACGACATATGATGCGTCAAGTGAAAATTATGCAGAAACATGGAGCACTTTTTTCTTACTGGTCTCACCTTTGCATCCTCCCTCCCCAAAAAGCGGCCCCCACGTTTGATGATGTTCAGATTTGCCTTCCTACTTACCTCGCGTTTCCCACTCCTCAGCCACGCTACAGTTTGTCCCAGATCATCGCATCATCGTCAGGCCCCACAGTGGCCAGCACACCCTCTATCTGCTGCATGTACTTGTCGTGAAGACACAGAACGCCACCCTCACCCTCTTCTGTATCCTCCACCCCACCGGCGAACACACTCTCGAGCGTAAAGGCGTCTGTGGAGGTGACGAAGGGGCTAAGCAGCTCCAAGTGGTCCACGCCGTGCGGCAGAAAGGCGTGTGGGTGGAAGCGCGACGACAGCTGCATCTCAATTTCCTCCGAGAGCGGCACCCACGGCGGCGCGCGCTCCCTTAGCACAGAGCTCTCAACACTGGTGCCAACCACCGACCCGTTGCCATCATTGTCATCGGGGCCATACGCAACAGGGACATCGGGCGCAGCCATGCTACAGTGTGCCACAGGCAGCTCGTAGAGCAGCTGGAAAATATACGACCACAAACCCTTGTAGAAAGGGTGGACAAAGGTGTTGTGGCTCCGCTGTGGCGATACCGTGGCAGACTCATCATGCAGCCTCGCAGAAACACTAGCAGACACACTGCTAATACTGAAGTTTTGTGCAGATGTGGTCTGTGGGGGTGGCGACATCGACGATGTGGCGGTGGTATTCACGCGGCTTCCGACGCCTACAAGGCCGCTCTGGTGCTCAATTGCCTCCTTCCGCAGCAGCTGTCCCACGAGCTGAAGCAAGGAGAGGCCCGTCGTGCGTAACGTCGAGCGTACACCACTCGAGACCCAAGGTGCCGCTGCCGCCGCTCCTGCGGCTGTGGTGGCTGTACTCATCGACTCCCTTGCGTTGCTGCTGCCACTGGCATCTGCCAAGGAGCCCCCACGGCACGACTTCTCCACCTCCCGCGAGAGCTTCTCTAGCTGATCCGTTTTGCTGCACACAAGAATGGTGCGGAGTGGCGAGATGCCGTCTTTCGGCATCTGCAACATTGGCAGTGACGTGCCTTCACTACCGACGTTGCTGCCCCTCTCTTCGCACGGCCCCTCACGCTGGCTCCATCGTCGCCGCTCGGCGCCCAGCGCCTGCTGCTGCGCGTGCCAGAAACGCTGCTGCTGCTCAATCATATGCATGCGGCGAACCTCGTCCTGCTTCGGCAGCTCCACCTGCAGCATCTGTGCGACATGGGCGTTCAAGTAGCCATACCACCGCCGCAGCTGACTCTGCAGTCGCCACGGCGTGCTGGCGTCAACAAGGACAAGTACCACACTCGTTTCCAACGCCTCCACCGTTGGGAGCGCCATAGCTAATGCACCAGGGGCATCGCAGCAAAAGAACTCCGTCATTACACGGCGCACGCCACCCCCAAGAACACCGGGACCGGCTCCGCCGTACATGCCACTGCTGCTCATGACGTCGTCCGTGAAGATGGCAAGTGTGCTGCGGTTCGCCGGGATGCGCTGCTGGACAAAAGCATGGGCGATGCCAGCGCCATGCGGAAAGTGCGCGAGGTTTGGTGTGGTGTGTGTCGTTGGCGACCGCAGTGAGATGGAGCTGTCAGCTGCTGCCGCTGTTGTTCCTGGTGCAGCCGTTGCAATGCCACTGCCCACCTCGGAGCCCTCCCTCCACGCCCGTGGAGAAAAGGTAGAGCCACCGGTGGTACTGTTGGCGGGATGCAATGATGATGATGGCGTGGAGGATGTTGGAAACTGTTGCGTTGCGGCAGTAAAGAGGCGACTAGTAAATGTGCGCTTTCCACTGAGCGCATCACCTACCACTACAACCCGCCGTGCGACGAGCTGCTGCTCAGTGGTATCCACCGAATTGATGCCAAGCACCTCCCACAGGCTCTTGCTACGCTGCTGTTGCCGTGGTGACTGCATCTCCAGCTTCCCTCGGCTACTGCAGAGACAGACAAAGGGAAGAAGCGACGTCTACACAACTCCGGCCCACCGCGTGGAGCCAAGGCGCAGCTCACCACACACAGTTCGCACCACAACTAACAATCCAAAACCAACCACACACACACACACACACAGAGATAGGGAGAGAGAGACACACACACACACACACACACACACGCAAGCACACATTCATGCGCCTTTATCCGCAAAGGTCACCGAGGTGGAGGTGAATGACTTGACATACTCGCCGCCAGTCATCAGCGCGAGCAGCTCCATGAACTGCGCCGTCGTGAGCGGTCGAATACCGCCGCCCAGCGACTCGTTCAGCGCCAGCCGCAACTCAGTGACCGTCGCACTCGTGCGCCCCGCCGCAAGGTATCGCTTGCCAATGACGTGCTCCAGCCGCAGCATACTTCCCTCCACCGTCTGCCGCGTCGGGTCGGGTGCGCTGAACATGTCAAGGTTAATGAGTCCCGTCTGCGGGTCCGTTGCGGCCTCCTTCAGCGCGGCGCTGATGAGCCACTTTGCCTCCTTCACGTCCTCGACGGCGACCTCCGCACTGAAGCGCATCTTGCTGCGCGCCTCCGCGAGTCGTATCATCGACTCAAGCTGCCGCAGTGTCGCTGACACCGTCCGGCTGCTGCCGCGCGCCCGTCGCATCTCCACATACGACTTTGCCAGCTGCTTGTGCGATGCCTCCGTCAGCCGCGGGTGTACTGTCTCGCGCGCCAGGGCAATGTACTGCGAGAGGATTCGTGTTGGCATGTAAGGCGCGTCATCAGTGCCCTCGAGAAAGACTTCTCCCTCGTGCTCCAGCACCACTGCTGCGCGGCCAGCTGGCAGACCACGTGGTCCCGTGTTGCCGCTACCGTTTACCGTATTCGTAACACCCACATCGTCATCATCATCGTCATCACCGGTGTTTTGTGTCGCAGCATCCGCAGAAGATGGACGGTTGCGCCCATCTTCAGACTCCATGAAAAGTGACAGCACATGCGACGCGAGGCGCCTGTCCTCCGTAGGGTCGTGATGGTCCAGCAGAAGGAAGATCAGGTCAAAGCGAGAGAGAAGCGTCGGTTCAATCTGCAGGTTCTCCACAACATTCAAGTTCACGTTCCATTGAGATTCCTTCGGATTCGCTGCTGCCAGAACAGAGGTACGGGCGTTAAGCTGCGCAATGATACCTGCCTTTGCGATGGAGAGTGTCTGCTGCTCCATCACCTCGTGTAGCACCGAACGAGTCGCCTCATTCATCTTGTCAAATTCGTCGATGCAGCAAATCCCCTTGTCAGAGAGCACCAGCGCACCGGGTTCAAGTACCAACTCCCCCGTCTCGTTGTTCTGCACAACAAAAGCGGTCAAACCCACGCTACTGCTGCCCTTGCCGGACGTATACACACCACGCGGGGCAATCTCATGCACCTGAGTCAGCAGCTGTGACTTCGCAACGCCTGGATCACCACAGAGAATCACGTTTATCTCCGCGCGGAAAGTACCAGACCTGAGTTCCTTGCGTGTCCCACCGAATAGCTGGGCAAGGATGCCACGCTTCACCTCCTCGTGTCCCCAAATGGTACGCGTGAAGCTATTGAGTAAAATGGTATAGATGTCTGGACGGCTCGCGATACGGCGGAACACGTCACGTCGTGACGCCTCTGCAGGATCCTCCGGGAGATCCTCATCACCCACAGCATGCTGCTTCTGCTGATCCTTCCACGAATTACGGCCTGCGCGGCGGTGCTCGATGTGCACAGCGTCAACGTGTGTAGCGAATATGCTGCGAATGATGCGTGTGTTGGCGTTGAGGCGGACGGGGGCGGCGCGGTAAATACCTGTCACAACAACGCGGTCACCAGGCACAACGGCATCCACCGTGTCACCGTACACAACGACAGAGATTGTGACTGGCGTGTCTCCATCCGTCAAGTGCTCCGGCGCCTCCTGCAGCCGCACCAACTGCTTGTCTTCGAAGAGGGAGAGATTATGGTTGATTTTGTACGAGTAGTGCTTGCCGCAGTGGTCGCACCTTGTCGGCTCGAAGATGCGCCCGCGATCGACGACGCTGCGGCGCACATGCTGACAGTACCAGCACTGAAAGAACGCCACGCGTATCTCCGGGATGATCTTGGACACGCGCACCACCATGCCCTGCAGCGCGATGAGCTGCTCAAGGTGTGCTGGCCCCATCCCGCGCAGTGTGACCCTTTCCGGCAGGTTGCGCGGCGCCACGCGCAGGATAAGGTCCTCCGCCACCGCCGCATCCGCCGCTGCGGCGAGACGTTGGCATACATCCTCCGCAACGTTTGCCATCATCTGCAGGCACTCCATGGGGTGGGCGATGGTCTGCTGGTACAGCCGCGGGCACGACTTGGCTAGCAGCTGCATGTCCAACTCCAGCACGCTGCGGTTCTGCAGGCGCAGGCGCAGTAGCTCTTGCAGGAAGCACTTCCTCGTACCGCCGCGGCGAGTGCCGAGGACACCACTCGCGCGGTCACCCATCTCCTGCTGTGGCCTGCTGTTGTTGTTGTCGGTGCTCACCTCATATGTTTCAAGGAACTGTTGGAATTCTTCCCGGAACGTCTCCACCGCAATGCCGGTGCCCCAAATATACGAGAGGTCTTCGCGACGCTCGAAAGGCGACGACATCGGCTGCTGTTGCTGTCGCTGTGGCGGCACCGGCGCCTCCACACCGAACAGCAATGGCGGTGGTGGTACTGTCGGTGGCTCCCGTGAGGGGCTTTGCGAGGCGGTAGGGCGCGTCGACGGCCGCAACGGTGTCAGCTCCACAAGCGAATCCCTGTCCATTGCCCCCCTCCCCCTCACTCTATTTCTTTCAATCCGCTCCTGTTCCTGCTGCTGCTTCTCTGTACTGTGTCTATTCCCCGCACAGGCAGAAACACACGAGAGAGAGAGAGGGGGGGGAAGAAAAGGGGAACTAAAAAAGACATAAACAGCCCCACCACACGTCCGAGAGGAACCCACACGTATCTGTTTCCGCGGCTCTCCCCTGGCAGAAGATGCGGCATGTCCACCACCGCCACCACCCACACAATTCCACAGTCATCGGCAAGATGTCAACAACGCCAGCAGCAGCAAACATACAACCACACAAGAGTGCACGCAGACACACCCAACACCACACACAAAGGAGGGCAAATGGAGTGAAAGATGCGCGAAAGCAAAGACGAACAAAAAAAAAATGCTGCTGGGGGGTGAATTAAACAAACTGAAACAACAAACAAAAAAAACAAAGGAAAAATGATCGGAACAAACTGGACGACCAAACACAAAAAAGTGACATCCCGCCCAGAGGCCCCAGACGCCCCCGAACCGCCACGCCGCCATCGCCACCCACGCACCACCGCCAACAACAAGAATACACCGCGTGGCTGTCTTACTGATGTCTATGAATAAAAAGAACCCTCGTTCCGTTTTCCGTTTCGCTTCTTCTTGCACGTCTTCGTGTTTATTTTTATCTTACAAAGACCTGAGCTGATCCTGCCGCAGTCTCGTATACTCCTCTTGTGTTACAGCGGTGTTACCGCCATACATGTCATAAAACGCCTCGTACTCGTGAGGCAGCAGCGGGACGTAGAACCATTCAACCGGCGGCCCGTGCACGTGGTCTGGTGTCCCCTCAGGGGAGGTGCGCTCCTGCCTCTGCCCGTGCTGCTGCTTCTGCCTTAATCGCGACTCACGACGCTTCCTCTCATCGGTGCAGTAGCAAAGGCGGTTGAGGATCGGCCCCGGCTCCTCCATGAATGCCAGTCGCTGCAGCCACGGCCGGGAAATGTAGACAGTCGTGCCGTTCTTCGCACACTCCTCGTCGTTTCTATGAGGGATTCTATATCTCCCCGCTTGTGAATCTTCCGGCGGCGGAATTGCTAGCAGCGACCGCGCCTTCTTGCGAAGACTCATAAAGGCATCCGATCGAGGCTCGACGGACTGTTTCTTGTACAACAAAAGGTACTCCTCCGAGTCCGCCACATCGCTCAGCTGGGCAGCAGATATTGTCTCGTCGTTGAGGAACATCCAAATGTCTTGCTGACCCGCCTTTTTTCGTGCAAAGGTGGTGTAGTGCCCGCCCCCGATAGAGCCGTGGTGGTTCACGACAGCTTCTAATGTGTAGGTGTGGATGGGGGGCGGCATCATGGCGTGCTGCCCCTCGCTGTAAGGGCTACAAGTCCTCTCAACGTATGCGGGAACCGCTGCTGTCGTTGACACCTTCACCACATTTGCACCGTCCGACTTAAACGATGACGGCGATGTTGGGACATCGGGTGTGACGACGCTTTCGTGAAGGTAATCGCCAAGCCGCAGCACTTCCGCGCCGCTGGTGTCTCCTGTGTCCCACGAGACTGGAAAGATTACGGGGTCTGTCTTCTTTGTGTTGAAGCACTGACCGTAATTAAACCGCTTCATCTGAAGCAGCAGGTAATCCGGCAGCAACAGCAACGACTCCCTCTTTGTGGCCTCTGAGGAGCAGTCGCAGGAAGAGCAGCGGTACTCGTTGCTCCCCTTTAACAAGACACGTTCAAAGTGAATGTCAAGGCACTCCTGCAGCGTGATGGGGTAATCCACGCAATTCGAGAAACCCGTCAGTACGTTGAAGATCCAATGTGCCGCGGCGCTAATCCACACAAACGGGTTCCACCATTGAAACTGCCCACTGCGCTTTTGGTGGAGCGAGCTCCCGTCGGTAGCCACGCGATGCACCTCGGGGTGGAGCCGGGCGTACCGCATCCGCTGCTTGTCTGATGGAATGTTAACAGCAAGGGACGAGAATTCTTCAACGATACGCGAGGTCTTGCCACATGCGTGGCACTGCACCTCAGACATCATATACCCAGTGAAACAATCCGTCACACTGTTGAAGTAGAGTTTCGGTGGGCAAAACGTGTTCTGGTACACCTCCTCCTTCCGTGCCTTTTCCTGGCGCTCGAGAAGTTCATTGTCTTTGTTTACTGTGTGCATAAGGTTCAGTACGTTGAAGTTCCACCAGCTCCCGGGATGCGACAGCGACAGAACGGAGGTCTGCTTGGAGGACGATGGGGAGAATTCGTTGCCCTCGTTCCCGGGGGCGTCGGCACCACATTGCGGCAGACTCTTTAGTGTAAAAGGCTTCTTCCCACCGACTCTCTTGGCCTGCTCCGAACAGTCAATACCCTCTTCTCCTGTTGTTACTACTGCCGCGTCCTCATTAAATGAGCGCAGGAGCGGCTCTAAATCAACCTCATGTCTACTCTCCTCCGCCAGGCTGGTGATGACGACATTTACCATCTCTGGACAGTCCTGCTGACCACGCCCCTCAAAGGCGGGGTGCACAGCCGCCAGGCATTCGAGTGCCCGCAGCGGTGAAAGGGCCTCACCTTGCTGCAGTGATGCGTACCCCATATCGTACATAAGTTTCGAAAAGGCTTGAAACAATTCCTGTGAGGCGTTCACCCCGGAGCGGCGCAGCCGCAATGTGCGGTTTCGGAAATTGGTGTGACGGAATGGGGAGTTGCACAGACTGTAGATGAACGGCGTGCAGTTGGCAAGTAGCTGCGCACCGGCGTTGAAGTAGCACGTGTTGCCCAGATTCGACAGCGGACACAGAGTGAATGGTATTCCCACTCCACGCGAAGATGTAGTGGTCTCATCCGTTGCGTCGTCGCGGCCCTCATACGCCACTGGCGTCACGTGCTCCGCCATGACAAAAAGGCTAAACGGTACACAATCCAATTACTCGTACATGTACACACCCACGCGCATGCAAAGTCACATTAAGTTGTAAGGTCAGAGGCAAAGAGGGGAATCAATTTGTAGCAGATGTACAGGTAGGCATTCGGGCTCCACAATATCTGTGACTTTTTTATGCGTTGCGAACCACAGTAAACTACAGAGGGATGAATAGAACATAAAAAGCAGAGATCTAGGTGCAACTCTCCACACTCGTGCGCATTCAATTGCACTTCTCTCCACACGCACATCTGCTTACACTCTCATTTTCCTTCTCGCCCCATTCTCTCTCCCGACACAGACTCTCAGAGCAGATACTTGGCAAGGTTGATGTTCTTCTGTAGTTCATCAGTGGCATTCTCCACTACTTTGGCGTCTATTATAACCTTCGTTCCTTCATACTTCTGGCAATCAAAGCTATATTCGTCCATCACGCGCTCAATAATAGTGTGCAACCGCCGCGCCCCAATGTTCTGTCCATTCGCGTTCACACGTGTCGTGACGCGCGCTAACTCATCGATAGCATCCTCTGTGAATTCTACATCCACATTCTCTGCCTTCATCAAGGCCTTCTGCTGGAGAAGAAGATTGAACTTGGGCTCACAGAGGATGCGTCGAATATCCTCCTCCTTCAACGCATGCAGCTCTACACGCACGGGAAGACGGCCCTGCAGCTCTGCAATCATGTCCGATGTTTTGGCTGTGTGGAAAGCGCCTGAGCAGATAAAGAGTATGTTGTCTGTGTTGATCTGGCTCCCGTCTTTCATGGTCACATTGGAGCCCTCAATGAGCGGCAGCAGGTCCTGCTGCACACCGGTGGAACTGACATCCGCGTTCGGGCTTGACGGCTCCGTCACCACCTTGTCAATCTCGTCAACGAAAACGACACCGTCCTGCTCTGCCAAGGTGCGGGCTAGCGCGTTGATCTGCGCCTCGTCCACGAGACGGTCCAGCGCTTCCTGCAGTGCCAGTGGGACCGCCTCCTCGACGCGTTTTGTCACGCGTGACTTCACTCGCCGCGGCTCAGAGCCGAAGACAAAGAGCGCACCGACCGACGTCATGTCGACGCCACCAGGACCGATGCTAGGCTTCGTGTTCATTGGCTGCTGGGTCACCTCAATCACCACAAGGTCGTCCTTATAGTCAGTCTTGTACCGCTCCTTGAACTCCTCAAACGTGACATCGCTCAACGGACCGCGCACGTCGTCATCATCACTGTTGCTGCTGCTGCTGCTGTTGCCGTAAGCACCTGTGGCGCGGCGGCGCAGGACCCAACCGTTGAACACAACGTCGAGTGCCATTGCCAGCGCCTCCTGCTCTCGCTCCAGCTCCAACCGGCGCTTCGCCTTTGTCTTGGCGTTGGTGTACAAATCCTCAATGATAGACTCAACGTCCTTCCCTTTGAAGCCCACCTCGGTGTACTTCGTTGCCTCCACCTTCACAAACGGCGCATCGGTGAGTTTCGCCATGCGCCGCGAGATCTCTGTCTTACCGACGCCAGTGGGCCCGACGAGGAGGATGTTCTTTGGCAGAATATCCTGCCGCAGACCCTCGTCCTTTATCTGGCGACGGCGCCAGCGGTTGCGGAGGGAGATAGCGACAGCCCGCTTCCCCTCCGCCTGCCCGACAACGTAGCTGTCCAAAATGGCGGCGATCCTCCGCGGTGACAAATCGTCCAGATGCGTCGATTGCGCCTTCGCCGCGGCGACCACATCGGGCGCCATCGAGGACGCAACAGTGGCCGTGCTGCTGCAGAGGCGGCACCAACTGAAGCGTAGCATTGAAGAGTGAAAGAAAACCCCCCCCCAAATACTCTCCTCTTCTTGTGATGGCTTCCTTCCGTAACAACTAAGAGCAACTCTTCCAGTGCGGGGGCGCCGCCTACCTATTTCCACGTGCTTGCTTTGTGCTGGAGCAACGCACGTGCACAGAGAGAAATAAGGACCGAAAGAAAGAAAACAAAATGCAGTGCATACATGTCCCTTCACGAGTTCATGAATTCGACACACAAAAAAAAATCACATCAGCAACAATGGCAGCAAAAAAAACAAAACAGGTGGAGGTCTCTTCTTAATCAAACGTGCAGCTGCAAGCCATCACCATACCCACCTAATGGAGAATGTATAGCACATGGCCGCATTTTCTTCTTTCCTTTTTCGTTTCTTTTTGTTTATACAATTGCTAGCCTTCACCGCGTTTCCCCTACACGAAAACAGAAGCATTTCGGAGATTCACATACAAGAAAAATAATCGCCTCGACACACACACACACACACAGACAGACAGACACACAGACAGACAGACAGAGAGAGAGAAAGAGAGATCCGGGGGAGGTGATATCTCACTCTAGATACCCTCCCCCGTCCTCAGAAGGCCTCACTAGCGGTAAGCATCGGGCCGTAGCGAACCATAACATGCGTTAGCGCTGTAATGCAGATCACAGCTACCAGAATAAGTGTCAGGGCAGTCGGCCCGCCCTTGTCGTCATATCGAATCTTCTTCCGTGCGTACACACGCCGCGCGCGTGCTTTGAACACGATGTACGCGTACGCCAAGATGAACAGGGCGACGACCACCATCGATGTACCCAAAATAACATGGAAGTTCGCTCTCCAAAACGATGGCAGCTGTACAATATTGTTCGGAAGGCTCATACTTTTGCCGAAACGAATCACCGCAAGGCCGGCAAGTCCTACCCGTGTCGCCTGTTCTGCCCACTTCACCATGTATCGCTCCGATGTGAGCAGCGTCTTTGGGTCGTACTTCTGCGGCACGCGAATTCGCTTACCTGTCTGCCACGGAATAAGACCCGAGAACACCTCCGCTGCCGCGTTTTTACCACCCGCAGGTGTGAAGCAGAGTGACTCCACGCCGTGCTCCGCATATGGGTAGAGGTGGAAGGCGGTGTAGGCGTTGTGCCGCCGATTCACGTCGTACTGAACAACAGGGATAAGCTCTTGCCGCCCAATGTTGCCCGATGACTGGGTTTCTACATCCATGGCGGCACCTCCCTTAAGAATGCCGTCCAACACCCTCTGGTAGATGCGTGTATAGTCGGTGCGGGGGAGGAAGCGTGCCTCGGATGCACCGACTGTTTGCGTCTGCGCGTGTCCGACGCCAAAGATGGCGCGGTCGGTAGTTCGCTCCCAGCAGCCGGAGGCGATGCCGACGGTGGGGTCCCACTGATTCTGCTCCGGCTTCGTGGAGGCACGAATGTCAATGTCGAGCTGGTGCATCCAGTACGGGACCATCTCAATAAAAGGTGTGTGACCGTACAGCGAGGCAATGCCGTGCGCGTATTTGCTAAACTTCGGGAGACTCTCCATGTAACGGCAGCTCATCAGCTCTTCAATCCAGGGTGCGATACGTTCATTTTCGGCACACTGGAGCTTTACTTCCACCACAGCGTACGGAAAGTGCGACACTGGGGAGTCAAGGCCGGTGTAACGCCAGTGATGACCTAGACCAAAATCTTCAGCCGACATGCGCAGATCTGTGTCGATGCTGATGCGTATAGATTGATCATTCCCCCGCTGGAATGCAGCACGACAACACTGCGTGCGAAGTACGGGCTTAAGGTCGTAGGCATGGATCTTCGTGAGGATCTCCGTTGAAAGTGACATAAATTTCTGCAACTCCGCCTCTGAGGCATTCTTCGTCCGCAATTTTTCCAACGCAGGCTTAAGGCTCAAGTCTCCATGCACATATCGGTCAACTTCCTTTTCCTTTAAGGCGAAACGCCGCTTATTGCTTCGCTCACCACTCCACGCCTCGTGGTGAACCTTAATCTCCATAAAGACAGCGTCATTGGGACCCAATTGATTCCAATCCGACTCAAACGGGTCACCGTACCAACGCATACGAATAAGTGTTGCCCCTTCCAAACGCTCAAGTCGCCTGTGGTAGAGGAGAAACTTGTCGTTGTCCAAGTAAACGCTGCTGACGGGCGAGCCGAGCGTGAAGGGGAGGTTTCGCTCCTTGCTGATCTTGTACGTATCCTTGAATGTGCTGAGCGGCAGGTGCGGAATGATCCGTGCAATCACAAAGGGCAAGTCCTGCATGTGCACCCAGTACTTCACTGACCGGCGATCAAAGACCTGCGAGCCAACAGTACCGGCTGGAATACCAGACCGCTTAACGCTCCGTGTATTTTCCGTCTCCAACACGCGATCGTACACCTTCGAAAGGAGGAAAAGGATCTCGTCAATGGAAAGCGCATAATAGTCATATTCCGTGTTGATATTATTCCAGCGATCCCCTGTGGGACCCAGGACTGCATAACGATACATACGACCAATAATGTGCTCAATAGTGTCCGTGTTCAAGTTACGACACTCGACAAAGCGGAGCAATTCGTGCATTACGGCGTCTGCCACCACACGCGCCTCACCAGGTGGCAGGTACTTTACGTTGCCACTGCCCAGCGTGTTGAGCACCATGCTGAGGTTGGTTGGCATGTCGTCTTCTGTGAGGTAGTCGGAGGCTGCCATGAGGGCTTCCGCAACCATCCGAAGCTCTTCCACCTTCTTTTTACACCAATTATACACTCGGCACTTTTGTTCCAGTAGCGAATCGTACAGCTCATCGGGCGTGGTCGGGTTTGCGATGTCCTCCTTCATCCGGTGAAGGATGTCCTTCGTGGCCTTGTAGTTGATGTACGCACCCTGCTCCCGGAAATCGGGGTACACCGCAGTTCGCCACGCCTTGCTGAACGGCATCTCCCTAATATGCGAAACCTACAAGCCGTTGCGCTCCACAGAATCAATATATAAGAAGGGACAATAAAGAAAATGAGAGGAGCAAAAAAAAAAAAAACATCATGTTCCTCCAAAAGCCTTCACTCATTGCCATTCTCCGTGCCTTGTGTACGAGAAAAAGACGGGAACAACCAAGTACACACGCACACAGTTGATGTTCTACATCGGATGTCTTTGTTCATGGATTCTGCACCTCTTTTCACTTCACCTCCAGCAATGTACATTACACCACACACCCTCTCCCACGATTTCGTGAGCGCGGTGTGGGGCGGAGTGAGCAACGGCAAGCGAAAAAAGAATTCAACTTTCTCAGACACACACATATATATATATATATATATATGTATATATATATTCGTTCTCTCGCAGATCAATAGGGAGTGTGAACAGCGGAATCCATCAAGCGAGAAACGGAAACACGTGAGACTCTCTCTCTTGGTTAGTCCTCCGTTGTGGCTACTCCACCGGCGGAGGGTCAAAATGCACAGGGGCGTGGTAGATGTGGCGATACGGGTCGTTGCCCACCGGGTGCCACGGCTTGTAGCCCTGCTCCTTTTGTCGTTCCTCGCGTATCCGCTTCTCCTTCATGTCGAACGGGTCCTCCTGGTACTCTGGCATCTTCGTGATGTCCTTTACAAGCGCACCCGCAGGGCGCCAAGGCTTGACATCCAGTGGCGGCCGCGGCAGCATCGGCTTCTTCGGCGGCAGTGGCCTACTAATGCCGTACACCGTGCTGAACCCATGCGTTCCTTCGTCAAAACAACCCCCTGTCTTCACAGCAGCCCGAAACGGGGGTTGTGCACGTGGAGTACTCATGTGCGTGGAGCCAGCATTGCCGATGGGATCAGCGATGTATTGCACTTCTCCCGCCTTGCCGATCGTCAGGCCCACGTAGCCGTAGGTGCCCTTTTTGCCAGGGTTGGTGTACAAGTTCTTCTTAGACCGCTCAATTTTATTGCCGTCGTCGGCCCCACTGGCCTTCTTTACGTGGATCAGCGGCAGCTCCGCCTCGTGTCTCGGTGGGTTGGTCTCACTGAAGGTGCCGTAGTATGTGCCCTTACCACTCGATTTGTGCGGACGACTCGGCGGCTTGAACGGGACAGGCGCGACGCCGCCGCCCTTTTGTGTGTCCACCGTCTGCCGAAAGGTGCCACCTGGAGAGACAGCGACGTACTCATCACCGACTGCAAGGGAAAGAAACGGCTTCTGAAACACTGCATCCGTTATATGCGGAGAGCGCTTCATTGGCACCACGAAGCTCTTCACACCATCTTTTACCGCTACAGACGGCTTTGTGGGCTGCTTTTCGTATTCATCACCAATAGAGAGATACACCGGTGGGCTGAACATGAGTGCTGCCTTTTTTGGCTTGCTTACCTTCCTTTTTCCACTGGAATCGAGCTTGAAAGATACACAGAGACATCCACACGAGAGAAAAGGGAACACAATAATAATAATAATAATAATAATAAACGAAAAGCGCGTCAGTATGCTCATCACAAAAACTATGAAAAACAATAACGGAAACAGCAGAAGAAGTGTCATCAAGGCGATGTACAAACGAATGTTTTCGCCCTCAATTGTATCTCCAGGCTGCTACGGGGGCGCACGAATAGTGAAGTGTTTCCACTGCTTGTTTATTTTACTTGTGACACACTCACGCTGCGAGAAGTGCACTGTAAGTCCCCCTTCACCGGATGACTTCTCCACCACAACTACCGTCTGAGTACGTGTGCCATACGACTGGCCTGTCGAAAATATATTTCGCTGAAAGAAGTTCACCTGCTCCTCATAACCATCCGTAGGGAAATGCACTGGCGAACGCAGCCCAGCACCGTAGAGCTGCGCGAGTTCCGATTCTCCATCATATCCATGGTACGGCATCGGGGCGTCTAGCACCTGCCGGTACTCACATAGTTTCTCCGCCGGTGCCTTGCCTGCCTGAAGCTCTTGCAGCAAATCAAATTTTGGCTCGGCACAGAGACAAGAAGAGGCAAAGGATGTCGCTACAGAATCTGCTTCATAAGGTGACCCATCAGCAAGCATGAATTCGGTCAACGCAGCCTTGAATCGCTCCCGCAACAGCGCCGACTTGGGCTCCATCCAGTTGTCAATGTAGCTATTCTGCAGACAATGTATGACATCATGGTCGGTGGGGTATTGGTGCTCCGCGCCGTAGCGATTTGTTGTGTACATTAGCTGCAACTGCTTCGGGTGGAACAAGCTCTTTGCGGTAAGCAAATTGTAACCGTCATAGTACGGCGGTGCAAGGGATGCTGAAAGCTGCGCCGTTCCGTATGATGATGATGCGGCGCCACTACCGGGCAGCCTTCCCTCTGTCAAGAAATCACGGACGATGTTCCCACGGGAAAGGTCGGGGACAAACTCCAGCCTCACGTTTGTCCCGCCATCAGCCGCTGGCGTGGTGTGCACCCTCATCCGCCGCACCACCTCTGTGAGCGGCATTGCCCCACGCCATTCCGGTGGCGTGACGCCCGCCGCCGGCCGAAGCGGGGCCGTTGGGCAGCGCGCACTGTTCGTCACAACCGCGAAACGTCCGCTCGCCACGTGAAGCCCCAGCCACGAGCCACCCGCCACACCGTCGGCTGCCCACAAGAGCCCCGTTCTGGCGTCTACAGCAACTGGGTGTGTTGCGCGACTGAGCAGCTCGTCGCGGTTGCTGATGAGCACGAGCGGAAACCGCTCTGACAGTTGCGTCACGAAGGCCAGGATACACATGCTGCCTGTGGGACTACGTGGTTTGTCTGCCAACCTCCCCCCCCCCTGCTCCTCTCTCCCTCACCCACTGGGGCCGAAAAGACTGAGGTGGCGGAGGAAGCTGACCAAGAAGATCATTGAGGACGAGAGCACCACTCATGCCAATAACACCAAAAAAAGGAATCACCAGAAGCAACACGCGTGCAGGCAAAGGATACGGAAAACCTAACCGAACCAAAAAGGGGATTGTCTGTGCTTAACCGGAACGTTAGGCTGAGTGTCTGTGTATTTTCTTTGTTACCCATCAGGTGGTGTTTTTTTGAGCTCTAGGAGCTTCGGTATCACCGGCTTGCCTTTCCCCAACCCATACTTCTCCTGCAGGTAAGAGTATGTGTAGCTATATTCGGGATTGCAATAAATAAAGTAAAAAAGGAAACCAATCACCGCCGTGGCACGAAATATGGCGTGCTGCAGGAACCTCTGCTCACCCACACTTCGCGGACGGTACGGCGAAAGAAGGTACGACAAGCTTGTGCGACGCACCGCTTCCTCTTTACCAGAAAAATGGCCACTCATTTATGTTAGGCGAAACTTTTTTGTTTCCCTCGACCCCAGGTGCACTGAGAGAAGTGAGAGAAGCGGCAAAGGCAGTTATAGACCCCTCTCAGACATCCCAAGAAAGATAACATGTGAGGCAGCACTAGAACACGACCCAAGCATCAGCATATAGCCCCATTGCATTCATGTATCTTTTCCGTTCTTCAAAAAAAGCAAGACTGATTGTTGGTTGTGGATGCGGGGTGAGGGAAATAGACGTCTCCCTTCCAAACTTACTCTTTTCGCTTTTCTTGGTAGCACACATGACTGTAGTTATTCGCGTGTTGCATCTTGTGGAACTGAGTGCGGCAGTTTATGCCATACCAGCAGTTCGGTCGGTTCCTGACAGTCTCGGGAAGTTCACTACTAGGCACCGCCCGCCGGTAGTGGAACAGTAGCGATGCGAAGACCGTTTGCATACAATTTTCGCACAATGCAGAGTCTACTGTTAGTTGTCCACTAACACAGGTTATGTCTGGAATCCACTCTCCCGATTCTAGTTTTTCCATGCACTCTTTCCACACCGCCTCAACTTGAATGCCCCTAGCAGTTAGATAGTTGGAAAGGATGCTCTGCTCCACACTATTGCCACCAAACGTTTTTTCAGGCAACGAGGAGGGTGCATGGTAGCGACGCAAGTGTATAAGGCCGCAATCGTTGCTAGAGTGACAACCCCCCTCTTCTTCATAGTACAAGTTACAGTACGGGACGCTGCAGAGCTGGCAGCGTTGCGGCCGAGGGCACAGTGGCCGCTGCGGAAAGAGGCGGCGACACTGCGAACACACCTGATGCAGGCCACCGTCAGGGCAGCGGTAGCTGTCGACGGCGGAAGCAGTCTCGCAGTGTCTGCACGGGCCGGTGGGCCGCGGGTGGCCGTACGCGCTCCTGTTGTACTGTGGAGGTGCATGCACGCCCTCCTCATCGGACAGCGCGAAACTGTTGTTACTTCCACCGCTGGATTCCTCGTCGATGTAATCATCATTACGGAACCGCTTTCGCAGCTTCCTGCCGGTAGGCGGAATGCTGTCAGCTGCCGCACACTCGGCCTGCTCCTCGGCGGTGCGGCCCAAGTGCGGCTTCGCCTTGAGCAGCTGTTCCACACAGCTTTGTATTTTGTGCGTGGGGCGCACCTCTGTTACCTCGGCACGGCACTCAAAGCACGTCGTGTTTCCATCCGCCAGCCATTTGCTGATACAGGCGGCGCAAAACACGTGCATGCACGGAAGCATGCTGCACGGGCGAAGGTAGAGAGACTTGCATACTGAGCAGGTAAGCTCCTCTTCCATATTGCCGACAGATGTCGCACTGCTGACTCGCTGAAACATATACTCAGCGGCTGCGGCTCCCACTGTGTCTGCCTCCCCCGGCTTCGTGAGGAAGACATGATCACCGGACTCCAACTCGACTTCCACACCCTTTTCGAGTCGCTTTCCATTGACGTACGTGCCGTTGGTCGAGAGGTCACGTATCGTCACCTGTCGCGTGACAGGATCGACGCGCAGCTCGCAGTGGCGCCCCGACACCCGCGCCACGTCAACGCGGCACTCCACCACGAGTTCCCTCGAGCGCCCCAAAGTGATGCAGCCACTGTCGCGGCAAATATCGACCACTAAGAGGTGCTCAGCAGCAGCGTCGGCGTGCAGCGGGACGAGACGTGCCACCAGCGGGCCGTTCACTGACGGTGCCAGCAACTCAAACGCGTCCTCAACGGAGTCGGCAATGAGGGACTCGTGAGGCGTGGCGGCGTCCCACGCCGCGATGCGATCAATGAGATTGTGCTGCGCGGGGCTTGACATGCAATCTTATCTTTCCCTTCCTGAATGTGTCAGTCGCTTTTGTTATTTATTAGTGGCAGTGTTGGTTGTGGTTGTGGGGGAAGCGATGTGTAGAGGGAGGTGCAACACTGCAGCACGCACACAAGTCAGCTGCGGTGTCTCGCCCATGTTCACTCTCCATTCAGGCTCATAACAAACAGCAGAGGTGTATAACGTCGCTGAAGGGTGGATCAGTACAAACCGCACACCTATACGGACAAAAAAAAAAAACAAGTTCAGGAAAAAACACCAACTGGGATGACGCCGCGGGAGAACGAGTAAAACCACTAAGAGCCAAACAGAGCGAGAAAAAAAAACACAGAGACACTGGTTTAGTATTAACTGCACACGCACAACCTCAAACATGTCGCTTGGTCGCCCCGGTAGTGCTGCTTCCGCCGCTGTCTAATTCTCGACGCAGCAACTCAAGGGCCCTGCCATTTCCCCCTACAGAGGTCACTGTCCCCTTTTGCAGGCGACGTGCCCGGCGCAGATGATATTTGCGCGCCTCCTGCAGGCTGTCAATGGTGTCGTCCAACTCTGCCAGCTGCTTCTTCGCCCGCGCAAAGATTGGCTCAAGAGTCTCCAGCCGAGTCAATTTTTCTTCAACACTCACCTTTTCCCTTACACACTGCGACCGGCGCGCCTCATCGAGTCCCTCCGACTGCAACTCCTGCTCAAGGCGCCGAAGTCGCATAGAAAACCCTTTTTTTGCCTTCTTCCATCTTGGCATCCCCCCTGTGCACCCCTGTGTATCGGTCAACGTCTTTTTCAGCTCACCCTGATATGCCGTGAGCCCGTCGAGCTCCTTTTCCAAGCTGGCAAGTGCCAATAACTCTACATCGATCTCCTCTTGTGCATCCGCCTGCCGCGTGATCGACTGCTCCGCCGGAGGCTGTGGGGGATGCGCCGCCGGATGGCGGCGGCTAGCGTTGCCGCTCTTAACGCGCGCAATTTCCCGTTCCTTCTTTTGGAGCTGCACATGCAAGCGTGCCACCTGCGCTTCAGTCTCGCGCATTTGTTTTTGGAGATGACTCATCTCCTGCAAATGTGAGGCCGCCATCTTCTGAACACGCTTCTGGCCCTCCCGTACGACGTAGTGCTGTCGGTTAAGTTCCTCGCTCAATTCCAACACCTGGGCCTGCAAGTGCTTGATCACCTCTGCGTTTGCCCCACTCGCGGTGACGAGCGAGGCCGCCTCCTGGACTTTCCTTCGGTACTCAGCGGCCGCCTCCTCTGCTTTGCGCAGCCGCTGCTGGTAGTGCGCCTGTAGTTTGCGCCGCTCCTCCTCCTTGTTCTGCCGCGCCATTTCCGTCGCCTCCAACTTGACCTCGGCGCACGCCAACTCTTCTTCAAGGCGCCGCTTCACCTCAAGCATCTCCGCCTGCTGCTGCTTGGAATGCTCCAACGCCCGCGCAGCCTCCTCGTTCTGCTGTACTAGTTGCCGGATCAGGCCCTCCTTCGACTCAATCTCGCGGGAGATTTTCTCCCGCAGCGAAGCATCATCAGCAACCCCCCCACTTTCACCACAAGCGCCAGCGCCAGTACCACTACTACTACTCCCACTTTCCACTTTCTGTGCGGCTTCGTCGAGTTGTGCCAAACGCACCGCGTCAGCCTCGCTTTGCCTCTTTTGTGCACACAATTCGTCGCGCTCCGCCTCGAGTTGAAGCAGTAGCGACTGCTTCGCCGAGGCCTCATCTTGTTCCTCCTCAGTAACTACCTCGACCAACGGCTTCGCAGCATTTGCTCCTTCCATCTCGGTGCTACCTTGTTGCTTGGCTTCAAGGGCCAATAGACGCTGCTCGAGTTGCTTGCGCTTTTCCTCCACCACCATCGCAGTGTACTCAGCATTAAAGAGGTCTTCTTGAAGTCGACGCGTTAAGTTACGCTCGCTTGCGAGTTGCATCTCCAATTCCTCCCAGGTCGAACTTCTGCTTGTGGGAAACTTGAACGTGGAGAGGGTTTGCTGCACTTGTAGCTGCCGCTGTGCGTCCTCAAGCTGCTGCCGGAGACAAAGGATCGTGTTTTCCGCATCCTCTGTTGTTGAATACCTTGCAGCCACTTGAAATGGAGTGGTTCGGATTGACTTGGCACGATCAGCATACTTGAGTGTGTTCAGTGTCTCTTCAAACGACAACGCATCTGGCGAGACGCAGGCGATCATTGTTGTTTTGGAGTTGCCACTTAGCATTGGCTGCAGCAGGCGTGTCAGTTTCGACGTGCGGTACGGAACATGTGCCTTCCGCTCACAGAGGGCCACAATTACGTTACCAAGCGAGAGGAGGCCACTGTTGATGCTGATGCCTTCTCGCATCCGCGATGCCACTCCAGCACCCTTTAGATTGGAGGTGCTGCTTCTGCCGCTGCCCAGCGTCACATGCCGCTCGTCATCCACGTCGTCGATGTTCCCTGTTGTGAAGCGGTGGCCGTGGGTCTTCTTGATACGCTCGCTCCCCGCTAGATCCACCAGGCCGAAGCGCGACACCGTCCCATTGTGCGTGAGTGTCATCGTGAGGAGGCAGTGGGAGCGGGAGCTCGTCTCGTTAATCAGCGTTGAGGCGGTGTGCCGGTTGGCGGTCGACTTCTTGATCCACGCGAGCAGCTCATCCTCACCGTCAACGACGATCTCCGAGAGGCCCTGAATGTACACCCCACACCGCGCGTCCTCACGCAGCGGCAGCGACTGCGACGCAGAGGGGGTCGCTGTACCGATGAGGTCGCTGATGTTCTCGTTATACACCTCCACGGCGGAGAAGCGGAGCTCCGGCCTCGCGCCCTCTTCGGCGGAGGGGCTCGCCCGCAGTGCGGCGTACACACGACGCGCGACGTCCGCCGAGAGGCGCGACATAGTGTATGTCTTCCCCGCGCCTGTCTGCCCGTACGCGATGGTGGAGGCGGTGTAGCCGTTCACGTACGCCTCCACGAGCGGCGCCGCAACGGATTCATTCACTCTAGCCGATGTCGCGTCCATGTCAAAGACCTCGTCAAAGGCAAATTGACGCTCGTCGCCGACCATAATTTGTGTGTCGTTCACCGTCACGCATTGATGCAGCCCCTCTGCGGACAAGAACGGGCGCACACGCACCACGACGCGGATATTTTCCATGAGCCGTGTGTCGGTGTGCGCGCCGAGAGTCTGGAATGCTGCAGTTCAGATCAGATCGCGCTACGAGAGTTTTGAGCGCCGCAATACCAGGAAACAAAAAAGACACAGAGCGGAGTGCTTCGGCGACATGCACAGACAGCAAGAGGGACGCACAGAGCGGTGAGACGGGACACGATTCAGGACGGAGGATGGGGAACGGTGAGGAGCCACCACCCAGTAAGAAATGAATACAATAACAACCAAGGAAGGGGAGAGGGAGAGAGAGATAAAGAAAAAAAAGGGGGGGAGAGGGCATATGCGTGTACGAGTGCAGCACCTAAAGATTCTTTTTTTTCTCTTTTCTCCATCTCCTTTTTCCTCTTTTTCTTCCTTTTCTAAAGAAACGTCAGCGCCGCCGCGCAGACTCCACAATCGCACGGTGGTGATTAATGATAAAATCCACGGGGCTTGGCTTGACGCTCTGCACCATCGCACCGACACCGCTGTGCTGCGGCGTCAGCGACGAGGAGCGCGGTGGCACTGAGCTGACACACGACGGGGCCTGATACACAACAAACTGCGTCGATTCCACATCCGAAGAGGATGCCTCACGGCTGAGGGGTGAGGAAAGCGAACGGGAGCCGTCCCAATACTGCCGCTCTTTCTCTTCTTGTTGTTGCCACCGCTGGTGTGGAGAAGAGGAGCTCAGCGCCTTGCCAAGCGCATTGCGGTTTTCCACCCGCTTCTTCGGCCGCCACCACTCCTCCGCCTCGTGCTTGCGCCGGCGCGACTTCTCCTGTCGGAGGACGTGCGCCTCGTAGCCGGAGACCGGCGCCGCGTCTTGTACGGGCAGCGGGAACAGCGGGTCGACAGTGGGGTGAAAGGAGCACTCAGACAGCTGCGTGCGCTCGAGCTCCTGCTTGACTTGGCGCAGCCGACGCTCGCGTTGCTGCCGCCACCGCTCGTTACGCTCCGACACCGACAGCCCGCGTTCAATGTGGCGCTCTGGAGAGCGCCCCACTCTGGGCCGAAACGTGCATTCCGTCATCTCCTTTGTGGCCTCCAACTCACGCCGCCGTTGTATCTCTGTTTCCATGCGCTTTTGTGAGCGACGCCAGAGGAGTTCCCTCGCCTCCGCGGCCGTCCGCGCATACCCGTCCTCCTGCAACAGCTGCAACTGGCGCCGCCACATCCTCTCTGACACTGTATTGATGCGTGGCTGGAATGTACACCCCTCCTCCTCATTATTTTCCTTCGCTCCACGAGACTGGGGCTTCTCCTTGCCATTCTGGGTCGCCACGCCACCAATGTAATGAAGCCGCCCCGCCGGGCTCTGTTGCAACTCTGTCTCTTCAGCCCGCTTGCGCTCCATAATAATGCGAGATGTCTCGCTAATGCGGGGGATGCCTGTCAGTTCACCTTCCGCCTCGCTGATGAGTTGTTTTCGCCGCATTTCGCTGGACTTGGATACCTTGTTACGGTACAAGCGTTCGTGGACCAATACATTGGGGTCAGTATAGAAGTTTTTGGATATCTCCGTCGATGCTGGGGCTACGCGTGGCGCAAACGAGCACGACTCGCCCTGCTCTGCTCGTCTTCTGCACGAGCCCTCGACCAGCAAACGATCCACAACGTTTCCCGGTCGTCGCAGCCGCTTTGCGTACTCCGTGATGTGAGGCTTAAACATCTGCTGTTGTTGTTGCTGCTGGTGGCGGTCTGGCAACTGCGAGCTGCGGCAAGACACGGAGGATCCACTGAAACTACTGTTCAATCCAGCACTCTGCTCCGCCAGCAAATACATGCGTTCGCGCCTTGCCTCCTCCTTCGCCATAAAATACTCCTCGATGCTCTGACCACGGTGCCGCTCGGTGATAACCTTCTCCTGCGCAAATGATGTGATGCGTGGGGTGGGACGCAGTGCTGCCAGGTCGCGGCGCAGCGACTCCTCGCGCAGGCGCGCGACCTTCGCCTCCCGCTCCTGCAACCATCTCTGCGATACTTCTACCGGGTCGC